CCTTAGTCTGATGGGTTACATCTTAAAATGATTCACCAGTGAGAACTTCTAGGCCAGTAATTCTCAACCAGGGGCGATTTTGCCCTCAAGAAGACATTGTGCAATGTCTGTTGACATTTTTTAAAATTGTGGTAGAATATATATAACATAAACTTGCCATTTTAATGACTTCTCAGTGTACAATTCGATGGCATTGCTCACATTCATACTGTTGTGCAACCATTACCACTGTTATGTTTCTAAAACTTTTCCATCACCTCAAACAGAAACTCTGTAACCATTAAGCAACGGTTCCCTATTCCCCATTCAGGAGACATTTTTGAATGTCATGACTATTTTGGGGGGTTAGGCTTCTGGCATCTAGTTGGGGGGCGGGGGGGCTAGGGGTGCCGCTCTACACCCCACAACATACAGGATTGCTCCTAGTGAAAAAGAATTATCTAGCCCAGGATGTCAGTCGTGGCAAGGTTGAGAAAGCCTGCCTGGGTTGATATGAGCATCCAGAACAGGAACTGATCGCACTGCGCAGGTTCTATTCTAACCCAGAGGAGGGTTGAGCAACGTCACGAGGGCCTTAACTCAGATGCGTCCACATGCACACCAGGGGCCTCCAAAAGATTCCTCAGCTGCCACTCCTCCTGGCAGGGCACTTGGTCAACACAATGACGGCTTCTACTAATGCTCAGGTTATCAAAAGGATGCCGAAGGGCGAGGTCACAGCAAAAGTGCCTCTTTGGAACAAAAGCACATAGGCGATAGGCAGCTGGTAAGAACGATGGCTCTGGGGAGTGTGGGACCTCGGTGAGATGAGCTTTGCCCATGAACTCCCATGCAGAAAACAGGAACAGTCCCACGGCCAGAGCAGAAGTCCATGGCCAAATGAGGGCACGCAGCTCTTCCAGTGAGGTTTCCACTCCAACCTGATTCGTAGGGGCCAGAGCCCAGGCAAACACTGATTCACATGGCAACAGAAACAAAGAACCAAATGACTCATCAAACAAATACAGTAGTATAGGGATAGATTCTGGAGTAGGTCTGTAAGGAGAAAATCCGATATAGTTCAAAATTACTCTAAAAATCTCTTTGGAAGCAAACATCTTGGCTCTCGAAAGTTCAAAACAGTCAGTATTTCCTCCAGCGTTGGTGAAACTCTGCTGAACATGAGGTCAGCAGTCAGACTATATGCAGAAGCCATGCTGTACATAAATCATGTGGTCTTTTAAATGGTGTACCTCATTCAGTGTGGCAGAATGCCCACACTTTGAAAGGCGCAACAGAAACTGAGCCAGCAGAGGGACTGGCAGATTCACATCCCCAGTCACACCCACTCCAGGACAAGTACTTGCTGCATGAAATATTTCATTATCTTCCTTCCTACCTCTCCCCATCCCCTGCCCCAAGTGCATGTAGCTCAATGATCAAAAGTACATTATGATAGGTTTCCACAGTATCTCCTGAGCACCTATTCTGTGCCAGACGCATTGCAAGCCACAACCAGAACTACCCCAGAACTATCAGTTCAGGCTACAAAGCCAGGATTAGACACCACCATTCACTAAGTGACCCTGCTTTCTTGTGCTTGTACCCTGACTTCTTGAGAAAAGATAGATTTAGTACTGTCATTGTCATTTTCTTGTTCATAGGATACTTAACGTGAGAACTAAAAGTCTAAATCTTAAGAAACTGAAAAATCTTGAGTTTGTTGAAAACGAGTGGAGTACCAATCCATCTTCATGGCAGGGAGGGCATGTGGAGCTGTGATTAAGGGCATGGGCTCAGGAGCCAGGCAGACTTGGGCTTGAGCCCAGCTTTGTCTCACACTGACTACATGATCTTGGACAAGTTACTTATATTCTTTATGCCTGGTACCCTAACTGTGGCCTCTTCCTAGGGTTGGGATGGTTAAAGGAGAGAATCCAGGTTAAGGGCTTAGCACGGAAATTGACCCCTTGTAAGTGCTCAATCATACCATCAGGTGCTTTTGCCATTGCAACACAGATAGGGAACAGCTTCACATCTCATCCTGAAATAGCATGAGACCTGCATCTTCACAGTCCTCGCTGTCATGGGTACTAGATTTAAAGGATATGGGCAGAGTGACACAGCCCCTCTTGTGTACACAACACACACCTCTACCTGTGGTCAAAAATGACTCCTTATCTCCACATGGCACAAGGCAGAATGTGGTGGTTAACAGATGCTGTGCCTCAGTTTGAGTCCCAGCTCCATCATTCCCTCACTGTGTGACTTCGGGGCAGCTAAACTTCCCTATGCCTCAATTCCACCACTAGTGAATGGAGATAACTGCACCTCCCTCAGGATTATATGGAATAGTGCCTGGAAAAAAAACATTATGTTTGTTTGTTTGTTTGTTTTTAATAAAAGAGAGAGTCTCTGAGATCTCACAGTTAGCAAGTCTCAAAACCAACTCATCTCCCCATCCCTAGCTTCAGGCTTATTCTTCTTTATTCTAATTTGGTAACATCACTGCCTACTCAAGCTAAAAAGTCTCAGTCTTCTTCAACTCTTTCTATACCTTTTTCTCCTTGGCCTTGCCTACTCTCCTGTTCCCACCCTCGCTATCCTTCCAGGCCATCTAATGACCAAGTCCTGTCAATTCTACCTAAAATTATTTTCCTACCCCCATGGTCCGGGCCCAGCACTGCCTTAGCACACCCCTCTGTAACCTAGCCTCCTTCATGGTCCCACCAGAAGTACTGCTCAGTAACAACAATCTGATCTTGCTCCTCTCCTCCCTCTAAACCTTTGATGGCTCCCCACTACTCCTTGAAGTAGTGTGCAAAGCTCTTGACGATCTAGCCCATCTCCCCCATCAGCCTCCTCTCCTACCATTAACCCTCACAAACTCTCTGCTCCAGCTGTGAGGAACTTGGCTGTCCTCCCAGGTCCTTTCACGCTTCTCGGCTTGTCCCTATCATTTGGCCTGGCAAGCCCCACTCAGCCTCCCGGACCCAGCTCAAAGATCACCACCACTCCTGAGGCTTACTTTCTTCAGCCCATCACCCACTACCTGTTGCAACCTCCTGACTGCTTCCCACCAGCAGACTGTCAACTCTGAAGAGCAGGCAAGGATCATGCATTTTACCTGTGGCTCCAGCCCCTGGCACAGGCTCCAATACATAGTAGGCACTGGATAAGCAAGTAATTAGGCACATGACAGAGATGTTGAAAATACTCATCAGATTTAAAGGTACCACCTTTATCAGTTAAAATCACCAATGTTCCAAATACAGAATCTCAAAGATATGATGTATGGCTGGACTAGGGCACAGAACGGAACAAGAGGTTCTACCCAGGAATGTCAGTACTACATCAGTACTACAGAATGTCCCCAGAACAAAAGACAGCCTTAGCGCTAGCCAAGAGTCCCTTCTAAGGCCAGTATATAAATTTATAAAGTTTCCCTCTGGCCTTGGTTCCAGTGCCCCTTCATTACCACTAAAAATTAGAGCTAGGCAAGAGCCTAGGGCAATCCCTTTATCTCAAGGAGACATGTTCATTACTTTTCTCAAGTTCCAAGTGCCCAAGTTCTCGTCCTGGAGGTAAGCTTTGGGAATGCACGCTTATCCCACAATCGAACATTTTCCCATCTTTTTTAACCTCACTGAACTCATAAGTGCCTGCAGCATCAAAAGGACCCTCGGCACACTCAAAGCACTGCAGGGCTGATAGTGGAGCCCACACCTACTCCCCCAAAGACAAAGCATTAGCCTACTGTACCCACTACTCGCTACAACCCAACAATCCGGCAAAGAACAGGCAGCATCAGAACAGTGAGGAGATTTAGGGCTTGGTCCTTAACTTGGCTATTTCAATCAGATTTGATGCACAGATATAACCCACAGGTACCATCCCCAGCGAGTCTTACCGTGGCCTGGGCAGACAGCCAGGAAGCTGAGCACTGCCAGTCAGCAAAAAAGGTGTCTACCCCTACAGTTTTTTTAACCTGCCCCACCCACCTTATGTGCTGCACTCTTCTCCCCTGACCCCGCAGTTAGTTACCCAGCACCCTGCTGCAGTCTCATCCTGGCTGGCACCAAGACAAGACCTCCCACCGCACCCCAATACCATGTTACACTAAGCCAGACAACTGCACCAAAACCCAAGGTAAATAGAGACGACATAATGCAGGGGTGTCTGCATTTTAGGAGGCCTCTGCTAACTGAAGCCTAAGGAAAAGCAACCCTCCTGTCCCCACAGTTCATAGGAGCAGTTTACTCTCCTCTCTGCGGTAGGAGGGATCAGGGCAAGGCTCTCACTTTGCCACTCTTGTACGTATTTGCTTTCTACGACATAAGACACGTGGAGGGGCCTAGCTAGCAATAATAGATTCCTAATGTTCCAGAGTTGTTTAAGGACAGTTTCCCAGGAACTTTCCCCTAGGTAATGACCTTCTTAGGTAATGCAGCTCCTAAGAAGCCCCTGAAAGTGCGCTCTACGGTTGGCTGACTTGGGCAAGGAAAACTGGCAATCTGGTTTGATTGAACTGAAATTAGCCATTGGAAATATTTCTGCTCCTCTCTCTCGGGGGATGTGAATGTTAGGAGTTGGAACTCGGGCGCAATTCGCATTCTTGGCGACTGAGACTCCTCCCACTCTCCCCTACCAGAAGGTTCGAGCGGGGTACTGGGCATACGAAGGGTAAAGAGCAAGATGGGGGCGAGTCGGGGACCCCCAGGCCACCGGCCCGCGCTCCCATGAGGCCTGTTTCCCATTTTTGAAGAGGGTCTTCCGTCCCGAGACCGAGGAGTCCCGAGGGGCCGGGGCGCATTCTTGGCGACTGAGACTCCTCCCACTCTCCCCTACCAGAAGGTTCGAGCGGGGTATTAGGGATACGAAGGGTAAAGAGCAAGATGGGGGCGAGTCGGGGACCCCCAGGCCACCGGCCCGCGCTCCCATGAGGCCTGTTTCCCATTTTTGAAGAGGGTCTTCCGTCCGGAGACCGAGGAGTCCCGAGGGGCCGGGGCTGGGCTGCTCACCTCTCGCGCGGAGCGGAGTTGCTGGCGCAGCGCATCTTTGCAGCCGTGCGGGCCGCTGGCACCCGCGCCGCGGGGCTGGAAATGCGCCTCGACGCGCGTGGCGCCGCGGTAGGCGCCCCGGTAGAAAGCCGGCCAGCCGAGCTCCAGCAGCGGCGGCTCCAAGTCCGACTGCTCGGGGAAGTAGGTGCCGGACGAGCAGTCGTGCGATGAGCCAAAGGAGTCCTCGACTCCCGCCGCCGCGCCCTCTTCGCCCGGCCGCTTGGCCGCGCGCAGAATGGCGCGCACCTCGTCGGGGTTCAGGAAGCGACCCAGGCGCTCGCGTCGCAGAAAGGCCGCGAAGGCGTCGGGACCGCCGGCCACCAACTCCTCGAGCGCCAGGCGCTGAGCTTCGCTGTACAGCTCAGCCGGGTTGGGCGGCCCGCACGGGGACAGGCAGGCGGCAGGCAGCTCGTCTAAGCCGTCGGAAAGGAGAGCCATGGCGGTGCTCCGACCCACCGAGATCCGGCGTGCGTGGACCCGCAGTCTTCTTTATAAGCACCTTTGAATCAAACCGGCTCGCGCCATTGGCCGCGCCGCCCCGCCCCGGCTCTCCCATTGGCTGCCTTCTCCTAACGGCAGACTCCGGGCGCAGCGCACGCCGCCACGGCCCGCCCCTTGACGTGTATTGGCTGCCCCGCTGCCGGCCCCGCCCCACGCCTCCGCATTGGCTGTCAGCAGCGGTCGACACGCCCAAGCTCTCGTTTGGGGTTGCTTCGCGGAACTTGAATGTGGTGATTCTGTACCTGCTCCGACGTAGCCGAGGCTTGGATCCTGAAGCTCTTCACAGTCAGCCACAGAGAGGATGGGCCTGAGTGGCTGCGCGGCCAGGGGCGGTGGCACAGGCAGCGGAGCCCGAACTGAAGCCCGAGAGCTCAGCCCCCGCCATCCTAGCGCGCCCCCTCCTGGTTCGCCCTACAGCACTGCCCTGCAAGGCGCAGGGCGGTCAGACCTAGGCACAGGGAGGAGCGGCTGGCGCCAGCTCCCAGGCTCAATGACCGCGCTGCTCCTGGGCTCTCAGAGGTTGGGCGTGACCAACCATGTCTCCTTTATCCCTTGTGTAGCTTTCTCTTCTCTCACTTCATCGTTTTTTGCCTGGTAAAACCGAAATCCTGGTTAACCTAAATCTGCTCTCCACCTACTTTCCACCTGCACCCAGGCAGCCATACAATACTGGGGAAAAGAAAACATAACCAGGCTGACTGGTTGTGCCTTAAGTTTATCATGTCAAGCGGGCCCTTAACGTCGCCTGCTAGCCTACATTTCCCTCATTCACGCTATCTTTAACTCTTATTCTTAGACTTTCCTTCCTCTTTCACTGAGAAGCAGAAACAACTCCCACATTCTCCCACCGCTTTAACCTACCCACCCTCACCTCTGCCTACGTACTGAGCCTTCTGTTACTACTATCAATCAGCTTAGCTGTCCCTTGCATTTAGGCCCCACCTTTCAGACCCTCTACTGCTAACCTGTCTCTCCAGTAATTCTCTCCTCTCTCTTGGATCATCATTTCCTTTCTTTACTGGTTCATTCCTATCAAACATGCTGAAATATTTTTCATCTTAAAACCCTCTCTCTCGACCCTACATTCCTCTGGAGCTTCCTCCCCATTTCTCTGCTAATCTTAATAGCATAAAACTACAAATGAGTTTTCTACACATGCTGTCTCCAGTCTTCCTCTCATTCTCTCTCCAACCCCGTTCAAGTGTGTGCTCCTTCTGCTCTACCAAAACCTCTCATCAAGGTCATCATGAGCTCCACAGTGCTAAAACCAATAGTCAATACCTCGGTTCTTCCCATCCTTTCCCCATCCCCAGCCTGTTTGTAAAGTTTTTCAAGCCTAAGTGTGGGGCCTTCCATGTGTCCCTGCTCTGGCATCCAGTGTCCAGAAGAATCCAAGAGAACATTCTTTCCATTTTCTTTCAGGACACCAACAAATGTCTGCAAATGACAAAGACAAGGACCATGGTCTGGGGCTGTGCAACACACAGCTTGTTAATGCTTTTATTGCCTGAGGGAAAAAGTGAGAATAACCAGGGGCTCACCTGCTGTGTTGTTGCAACAATGTGAAAAAGTATATAGTATTTTACCTCCTCACTATAAGCTATTTGAGGAGAAGGACTGGGGTGAGGTCGGGGGAAGAGGGTAATGAGACAGGTCGGTGCATTCCAAGAACAGAATAGAGCACACGGACAGCCCTGTTACATATAAATATCGTCAAACTTTTAAAAGTGTGAATATATATATGAGCTATTATAGGGCTCCATACTAATTCTAAAGGAGACATTGACAGAGTGAAGGTCATCCATCTTTACTTGGATTTATCGGGTTTTACAACCTCCCAATCTAGAAAGACATCTGCTCCATGGCTGAGACCTCAGAGCTCCCTTCGCGTTAGGGGGCTCCTGGGAGAACCTTCTGGGGGGGTGGGGGGAGGCAGGGATCCCCACCCTCTATTCTAGGCATCATTACCTTTTTGTGAATTCAAGTCAGTACAGTTCAAGTGAGCTCACAGCAATGACCACAGCCACACTAGCAGGTGTTATTAAAAGGAATTTAATAATTTTAATTAAAAACTCTTAACAGCGAATTCTGTCACAGGCCTTGGCAGCTGGAAGCAACTCCAGGGACATGCCCCTTTGGGATGTGATTGGGCCATGATCTTGGACATGAGGCCCACCACTGCCACATGGTGAGGAGCTACCTGTAAGTGACTTCAATACAATATCAAAGATCTGCGAAGATTTTTTTTAAAAAACGTTTTAAATATATTAGACTCTCTTGATTGCCATTTTTTACACAAAGCTGCTGATACAGTATACAGAGTTAACTTCTTTTCACATAAAATACATTTTTCTTAAGTTTTCTCTGTACATCAGTGGCTTCTGGTCTGGTGAATTATTGCGGAGGGCTGGGGGTCTGCAGACTTTTCCTGGGTGCGCAGAGCCCGGCCCCGCACTGCGGCATTTACGTGCCCTTAGGAAGCAGGCCCTCTGGCCAACTGGCCAGCGAGAGACTCTTGTCAAGGAAAGGGCTATAGCTTTTGGCAAACACGGTCACTTCTGTGGGGTTATCCACTGACCACATGACCCTTTGCTCTTATGTGCCCTGGGGAAGGGGAAGTTGTCCCCCAGGCTACAACAGCAAGAGTTAAACATGGTCCTTCTGATCATCTTGTAAGGAGCGCCTTCTGGAAAGTGCCCCGGTATCTTGCTCTGGGAAAGCAGGTGGGAGAGACACTCAAGATCAAATGGTATCTGATACCAATAACCCAAATGGTCTCATGTTATTACAAAGCCAGAAAACTGTGGTAGGATAGGACAGGGGACACACCCTCGTTAAGTTACCAAGGCCATTTAAATTGCTCAAACAGTGCAGTTTCATCAATGCTGCATATTTGATGGAGAATTACATCCTGAAGTCTTCAGTAGACCTGGGTCTAGGGTTCATTCAGCTTCCCTCAGGTACTGGTCAGCCACTGATGACTATCTGGTGATAGCCACCAATCTTCAATTGTCTGGGGCATAGGGTGGGAATAAGGGCCAGAGCTCACAGTGAGCCACGTGGCACCTGCTTGGGAAGTAACCTCCTTTAATCTGCCAGGAACTGCCACTAGACCTGGGTCTCAGCAGGAGCTGGGCAATTGGCCGACCTTGCCAGCTTTCTCCCAGCCCCTTGATCTATATGCCTGCCAGGAAAAGAGGCAGAATCATGAGGAAAGGCTTCAATGTTAACAGAGAAGCTCCTTTCCCTCCCAGTACCCATTGGTGGGGCAGGAAGACTATATAAGTGACCAAAAATGAGCAAGAGACACTGAGTTTAAGAACCTGAGATGCACTGGACAGTATATTCCACTCCTTATTCTCCTAGACACTGACCTCAAACTGCTATTATATAGTGCCCCAAAGATGCTGGCCTGAAGGCAGCTCTATCCCTGAGAGTTCCGCATGGACTTGGGATGGTGTCTGCCTGGAATGCAAGATCCAGCATGTTTAGGGGCAAACGTCTCCCAAGGGTGGCCATGACAGCTGTTTCCCACCTAATAGGATTCATACTCTAGGGAGTCCAGGAACTGAAAAGCAAAGTGACGCTGGGCCAGGATACAGTCATTGTCTCAGGTGACTTGAATGGGCTGCTGCTAACACCCACTGTAGAGAGCAGTCTCTTCACTCTGTCTCGGTCCTCTTTCATCCCCAGAACCTAACATAGTGCCTGGTATGTCACAGCTACTCAATAAACTACATGAGTGAATAAATGGATGACCTTGGCCCCAGCCTTTCCTTCAATACCCAAGAAACCAACAGGGAGAGTACCCCAGGCACCTAAAGCCCTAACAGGGAATGGTTTATCCCTGACTGAAAATGTGAGCTAGTGCCCAAGAGTCTGCAGTTGGCTCCTGTTGGGGAATGAACTGGAGTTCCCAGCCTTCTGGGTGGGAGAAGAATGGCCCAGGAGGCAGGAAGCAAGGGAGAAAGAGGGCGTGGCCAGAAGGGCTCAGAGTGGGCCATAAATACCTCCAGTTTCTGGCCTCTGAGCAAAGAGATCCAAAAACCTGCACAGCTCTCTCCTGAGGAGCTGTGGCTTCTCGGCGCTCCTCAGCTTGCAGCTTAAGTCGGCTCAAGAGGAATTTCAGTGTTAGTCTGATCTGAACACTGTTTTAAAGCCAAAGGTATATGTCTTTTAGATCATCCCTGCCCTGCTCCAGCCATAGGCTGATATGCTAGAGAGCCTGCTCCATGCCCCCAGGGATGTGGGAAGCATCATACACATCTGTCTGCAGTCCCCTGACCAGCCCCTCCACCCTAGACTGGATCTGTCCTGGAGCTGGGGTGTAGGTGGCCTGATGATTTGACCCTCCATGCATCCAAGAGCCACCAGGGGCACAGTGACTCCCCCTGTGCCCCATGCTCTCTGGGCCAGCTGCCCTGCTCTTGGTAAAGCATTGGCCAGGTTCCCAGGGACCCAGCTCCCTCTGTGGGTTATGGGGGCCACGAGGTCCACAGTGGGGACTGAGACTGACAAAGAGCAGACCCATTAGGGTTGTGGCAAAAGGCGGGGCTTCTCCAGCCCCAGCCCCAGCCCCGTGGCCCAGGTGCCTCTCAGGGAGAATTTTTCATAGGCTCAGAAAGAAGAGGGTTAAAGGGAATCCCAGTTTGTTCCCCAAATCACAGAATCTGGATCTAGGGGGCCCCTTCAGAGCTCTAAAGAGGTAGTTTTAGGACAAATAAAAGGCTCACAGAGCAGGGACCAAACCTGCTTGTTAGTTATACCAATAGGTTTTGGCTGAGCCTGTGGACAGCGCCTAACTCATGGTGACAATTTCAAAGGGGCTCATGAGAGAATGTGTGGAGAGGCGATGGGCAGCCTGCCCCTGGAGGTCCAACCTCCCCAGCATCAGGGAGATTGGGCCTATAAAGTTGTAGGGCTTGGGTGGGACACAGCTCTAGCCCCAACTCCACTGTTCTGAATGCAATGCAGGGTGTTGGCCATGGGCACCTTGGGTTTGCAGCCTTGGGGCATCACCACTCCGGCTGGAGCAGGCTGGGAGCCCCTGGGCCAGGCGGGAACCCACAAGGGCTAACTGACAAGCTTGTCTCACCGAGCATTCCAGAAAAGGCAAAGCTAGGCCTGGGATGGGTGGGCAGCTACAGCCAGCCCCTCACTGCTCACTCTGATGGCTCAGTCCAAGGAGGGCCAGCAGAGACAGGCTGAACTGAAACTGTCTGGAAATTCACAAACATCAGCCAGGGCACTGGGCTCTGCCATGGTTACCAGACACATCTGTAGAAATTACCAACATGAACTCACTTTTCTTGGAAAAGCCCTACCAACTGAAGCTCCTCACTGAGCTCATTTTCCAATACTAGTCAGTAGAACCTAGTGACCAAGAGACTATCCATGAAGGCAGCCAAATTCAGTTACCTCTCACTTAGAGTTTTGCATCTTAAAAGATGCCCCTCCACTTTCTGATGCTTCCATCCAATTGCAAAATGTGATTTGGATTATTCTAGGAATGGAATAGCCTGGTTTTCGACCTTGACCTCTGGGTGGTCACACAGCTGGCTCCTGGCACGAGCACGGCTGTGGGGAGAAGGCCTGTATCTCATCTACCCAGGTGGGTTCATGGCTCCCTCTGAACACAGAGAGGACTTCCTGCTCCTGCCTGATGTGGATGGTGGCCCAGAACATGGCAGGACTCTGGGTCCCAGCTTAGCAGGCCTCCTCTCCTGCTAAAGTCACATTGGCAGTGGTGACATAACTCTGAGTCTTAACCTCAATTTTTGGGGGAATAGTCCACAAATTCTCAGTCCCACCTGCTTCCATGAGCCCAGCTATCATTCCCACACATGTTGATTGAGCGTGCGTGTACATGAGTGTGTGTATGTGTTGATGTGTGACATGTGAGTACTGGTCCAGAGAAGCCTTTCCCAATAACAGAACTGGAATCCCAGCCCTCCCTCCCAAACTCTGACAGCAGGGTGAGCCAAGAAGCCACTAGAGGCCTTGTTTCTGATAGCAGACAATGCAGCAGGAAGCAGAACCATGGGAAGGGGTGGTGCTATGGGCAGCTAGCTGAGAGGTGGGGTCAGCGTTCCTCAGGAAAGCAGAGTCCACCTCCCCGCGGCTGCCCTCTGAAGCCTCCCCAGCCAGGGTTGCTGGGCTGGCCTGGATTCCAAGGACCCGTCCCTGAAGCATCTCTTTCCTCCATCACATGGTGACTAGGAGATGCGGCAGCAGCCGTGGACCTTCTCCTCCATCTCCTCCATGGGGGCCTTGAACTTCAAGAGTGGGGGATCTCCGCTGGTGACCGTGTAATACACTGATGTCCCATTGCTGCTGTACGGTGAAGTTCTGCCTCCGATCAAGGGGGCCTTGCCTTCGCTGCTGCTCTCGCCCGTCCTGGCCATGCTGCTGCCCAGGTGGGTGCTCAGGAAGGGGTGGCTGAGCAGCTTAGCTGCAGCCCGCTGCCGCTTCAGCTCCAGAAGTGTCTGGGGACTCTGTTCCTTGTAGCCACTCCAGGGTGGGGTGGCATTGGCCACACCAGGGCTGCTGTAGACCATGTTGTAGTCGGGCACCTCGTGCACCTTCCACACATCCCCGTTGGACAGTGCATACTGGTAGGCACTGACCGGGGCCCGGAGGCCATTCTCAACAGGCACGTCCATTTCACCTCGTGGGATCTTCGTAGGAAACTCAGAGAGTAGCACAGGCTTCTCTAGCCGGGGGTTCTGAGAGTAAAAGAACAACATTACCAGGTGGCTGGAGGATCTGAACCCACGCCCCATCTGCACCCCTGCTGAAGGCATTATTGTCTGAACCTGTCCTCCATCTGTTTTCCCTACCTGGGTCATAGGATCTCCATTTTGCTTTGGGAAACTCACCTACCTATGTGTTTTGGTAGAGCTGACGAAGCCCCATCCTTGGTCCAGGGGTTGGGCCATGAAATAGTCACTAAAGGAATTAGTTCAGGCATGGGTTCTTGACTGAAATTGGTTCGATGAGACTAACCCTGGGACTTTTGCTAGAATGATTGGGAAAGAGAAGTTCTGTTTCTATAGAAATTGAGAGTGGTAAGAATGATGTACGGTATTGGGCTTTGGAGGCACCATATATATCAAAGGATCTACCTGACAGTGAAGCTAACATGAAGGAAGACTGAAAGAGACAGACAGACAGACAGACAGACACTGTATTCCTGATGATGAGCCCCTGGATCCAGTTGGGCCCAGACTTTCCAGTGACATGAGCCAGTAAACTCCTTTTTGTGTGTAAGTCGATTTCAGTTGGGTTTCTGGTCACTTGCAATCCTTCCTCTGTATTTCCAGCATTTCTCTACTCTAAATGGCAGAGATTCTTACCCAGAAATCTCGGGATAAAAAGAGCTTTCAAAGTAGCTGCTGCCTAGAAACTTCAAACAAAAAGGTAGATACATTTGATAGTAACAAAAATATAAAGCCTAGCAAAAATTACCATAAAGTCAAAAGACTTATGACAAAACTGAAAAAAGAATCTACATCATATATGACAGAAAAGAGACCAATTTTCCTAATAAATAAGGATCTCTTAGAAGTCCATTTAAAGAAACACAACTACCCAACAGAAGAAAAAGAAGTCAACAAAGGACACTAATATATAGCTCACAGCAAAATATAGCATGTAAACATAGGGAAACAACTCAACCTCACTAATAATTAATGACATAAAAATTAAAACAACAAAACTTTTATCTGTCACACTGACAAATATTTTCAAAGTTTGCTATTACTCATTGTTGGCAAGGGTGTGGGAAAAACAGCTAGGCATGAAAACTGTCACAATCTCCTTGAAGGACGATGTCATATTATCAAAAAAATTTTTTTGTATTGCTTTTAAAGACTGCATACTTTGCACCAGCAAGCCCATTTCTAGGACTTTGTTTCACAGATATATTCCTCAGGAGAGCAAACCCTAAAAGTCAGTGTTAGGCAGGTGGGAAATTATGGCAATTCCTTGCACTGGAATATTCTGCGGCTAGTAAAAAGAATAAAGGCAATCTCCAGGTGCTGACTTGAGATTCCAAGAATCTCCATTTCTTGGAAAGATCTCCAAGAAATATATAAATCACAAAGAAAAATAAATAAAACATGGCTGAGAGGTATCTGAAATGTGATTTGATTTCAATCTACAACTCTTTTCTCCCCAACGTCCAAGCTTGAGAACTTGATGGAACAAAGCCTTGGGATTCTTCAATAGG